TAAATTATAAACGACTGTGTCACAGAAACCAGGATTGCATTTGCTTTGATTTACAATGTTTGTTTCTTCTGCAGTTAATACTTGCTTCTCTTTTTCTCTTCTTCTTCATTTGCTTCACTCTGTAGGTACCTATCATTAAATTGTTAGGAACTGCAAGGTTGGAGGTTCAAATTCACAATCTTCTCTGAGAGAGAAAAACGAGCCTCTCTGCTCCCATAAAGATTTCGAGTCTCAAAGACTATAGGTTAGGAACCTATGGGTAAAGGGTTAGGAAACGAAGTATAGGGTTAGGAAAACTAGAAATATAAGTATAGGAAAAATATAAGTATAGGCTTGTTATGGGTCAGGATCAACTCAATGACGGTGGGCTGGGCATCAGTAAGTCAAGAGCCCAGGTGGCACAGTAGTTAAAGCACCCACGGCTGCCTGGAAGGTGAGAGGTTCAAGCCCACAAGCCACTCTGCAAGAGAAAGATATGGTGGCTGCTTCTTTAAAGATGTCCAGCCTTGGAACCAAATGAGGTGACTTTACTCTGTCCGATAGGGTCACTGTGAGCCGGAATTGGCTGGTGATCACTAAACGGCCCTAAGCTCTCTACCAGATCTCGGTCTGGCCCCACAGTACAATGAAGCTCATCAGGTGTTCTATCCATTTCATGCTGAAGGCACGCTGCTCCCCAGGCCTGCTGGGAATGTCTTCTACTCTCCCCAGTGTGGGGGTCCTGCGCCCCAAACTCCAGGCCAGGTCTCTCTCTTTCATAGTGCACTTCTTCTCTGGCAGAGCATCGCCTCAAAGAATTTCTCTAGGAGGAAAGACCAAGAGGCAAAGCTTTTATGCCTTCGGTGTTTGAAAATGGTGGTATGGCTGGCTATTAGCCGTACCTACCGCTTTATTTAAATTTTTTTTCCAAAACCGTTCGAATGAATTCAAAAGTAGAGAGCTACTGCCATGAGCCCTCCATAGACACACCACCCAGCTTTAGCAGGAATCAGAATGTATCTATCCCTGGTTTTCATTCTCTCTTCGCTCGTCCCCAAAGAACTACTTTAGAGCAAATCCCCCAAAGCCTGCCATTTCACCGAGGCCCGTCACACCCATCTCCCTAAGAGGGTGGCTTTCTGACTTGGCCACGCAGCCTTGGCGCTCCCGATGCAGCAGACGCTCAGTCTCCCCCCCTCGTCTCCCACCCTCTTCGCCAGCCTCTGTTCGCTGTTGCCGCAACTGGCTCCTGTCTCTCTGAACGGAGTGAGTTTTCTTTAACCTTTTATCTGTAGCTGCTTTTACATCCTATTTCTATTGCTCTAGTCGTTATCCTTAACATCTCGATATATGTATCCGACTTAATAAATGGACATCATCTGTACATTCCTTAAGGAGCCTGGTGGCACTGTTGGGTAAGCTTGGACTGCTGACCACAAGGTCGGAAGTTCAAATCCATCAGCCGCTCTGGGGGAGAAAGATGAGGCTGACTGCTCCTGCAAAAATTGACAGCCTCAAAACCCCCAGACAGAGTCATGACATGCCAGGACTAACTCAATGGCAGAAGATTTGGTATTGGTTTTGTACCAAACCCTT